ATTTGCTGCGCAGCACTCGACTACCTACTTAATGTAGATACACCGAATCACTACTAATCCTCATCTAGGTTGCTCAAACCAGTGTTAAGAATCCTAATACTCTGGGGCGCCTGGGTGGCTCAGTCGTTAAGCAGCTGCCTTCGGCTCAGGTCATGATCCCAGAGTCCTGGGATCAAGCCCTGCATCGGGCTCCCTGCTCGGCGGGAAACCTGCTTCTCCCTCTCCCACTCCCCCTGCTTGTGTTCCCTCTCTCACTGTGTCTCTGTCAAGTAGATAAACAAAATCTTTAAAAAAAAAACCCTAATACTCTCTGTTGGTCTCAAGCCTCTCTGACGAATTTTCCCTCTCTTTATTCACCAGATCCCCATCTTTCCATTAACAATTTTCAATTAACAGAGCAGCTTCCAGCCAGGATCCTTTTGTGCCCTTTACTGTAATGCACTCTTTACAACCATGACAAATTATGCCCAGTAAATCAGACAAACCTGTGTTCAAAGCTCAGCTAGTTTTACATCGGTAGTAACAGCAAAAGACTAGAAATAATCTAGTCTCGTAAGGACTGGTTAAAATGTAGTTAACACAGTCGTGGTGGGGCTGCCAATCACAGGCCTTCTTCTTCCCTGGACACAGGAATGGGGCACATGAGCCAAGCTTTTAAAGTAACCCATCCTCCTGGCCACAATAATTAGTTCAGGGATGGACAAGACAAGCCCAGCCAATGAAAATCATCAAGAGGATTTCTATGCCAGAGCTAACAGGAGAGATGGCTTCCCTTTCACTGAAGTGGCTAAGTTGGGAGGATGTCAAACTGAGGTGCTGGGGGCCATGTTGCCCGTCATAGGGCAGAAACTACCTAGGGAATGAAGCCTATTACGAGCTGGAAAGATAAAGAGCCATACTGACATTATTTGAGCACCTGGATCAAAGCCCTGCTCTGCCCAGTCATGTGAGCCAGTAAGTTCCCTTTGTGGCTTAAATTAGTTTAAACTGGGTTTTCTGCTCTTGCACACAAGAGCCCTGGCCAGCTCAGCAAATTAGAGAAGGAGAAATGAAATAGGTTAGTCTTTATGAAATTGGTTCTATTTATTTGAAATTTGAAGGATCAGTGAAAAAAAAGTGGTTCTGTGGTCAAATAAATTTAGGAAATTCTGCCTCCTTAAAGAACCCCAGTATTCATTAGTAGAGCAAAGACTGTGAAAAACTGCAGTAAAGAACCTAAACTCATTTATCTTAGGAATTTTCTGAAAATTGATTTCTCACAGATCTCCTCTTAATGAGGCTAAAGATGGTACCAAAAACAGAAGGCCTGAATGAAGCAGACCCTCAGATCCCTTCCCACATTCTGCACAGATGGATGACTTCCTTCTTTTACAGGGAAATGGTTCTCTGCCCATGTACTCTGCCTACCAAACTGTTCCTGTGAATGAACGATACGCCCCCCCCCGCCCCTACCAAGAACAATCCTTCTACTCTGACTTACTCAAGCACAGCCTCCCAGCAATGACTCCTTTTCCTGCATTATCACTGTCTCCCTACCGAATCATTACTATCTAGATATAAACATGCTGTTACTTCTCTCACTGAAAAAACAAAAACCGTATCTTGACCCCACTCCCTCCCCTTACTATCTCAATCATATTCCTCTCCCTTAAAGAAAAACTCCTTGTCCATTTGCAATGAGGTGGATGGAGCTAGAGCGTATTATACTAAGAGAAGTCAGTCAGTCTGAGGAAGACAAATACCATAAGATTTCACTCATACGTGGGATTTAAGAAATAAAACAAGCAAAAGGGTTAAAAAAGATAAAGAGACAAACCAAGAAAGAGACTCTTAACTCTAGAGAACACAGTGATGGTTACCAGAGGGGAGGGGGGATGGGGACCATAGGTGATGGGGATTATGAAAGGCGCTTGCTGTGACGAGAACGGGGTGTTGTACGGAAGTGCTGAATCACTGTATTGTACCCCTGAAACGAGTATTACACTGTATGTTCACTAAATGGAATTTAAATAAAAACTTAAAAAAGAAGAAAAACTCCTGCAAGTTCCAATTCAAGACGGTGATGTAGGAAGACTCTGAACTCACCTCCTCCACAGAACACACCAAATTACACCTATTAATAGAACAACTCCTCCTTAAGAACAGAGGGCTGACTGAGCAACTACTGAACAACTGAAGCCGGAATGGCAAGAGAACAGCGAAAGAGTCAGAGACACAGTAACAGAGGGCACTCCCACCTCCAACACCGGGAACTGCAGTGGGAAGGCATAGTACTTAAAGGACCAGGAGCACAGCCCTTTGTCCTTGGGCACAGAAAAACAAACAAACCAACAAAATAAACCCATGGTTCAAAAGGGCAATTAGCAAGGGCGCCTGGGTGGCTCAGTTGGTTAAGTGTCTGCCTTCGGCTCGAGTCATGATCCTGGGTCCTGGGATGAAGCCCCGCTTGGGGATCCCTGCTCAGTGGGGAGTCTGCTTCTCTCTCCCTTCTCTCTCCCTCTCCCTTTGCCCCTCTCCTGCTCATGCTCTCTC